TCAAAAAATGTCAAGAAAATTACATATGTAAAATTATATCTAATATGAAATATACATATATTTGGTCAATGGGGAGGAGAAAAAAAAAGAAGGGAAAGTAAAATAACATCATGCTTTTGCACTAATCTTTCCTTTCTTATTTATTGTACTCCAAGCCTTTTACCATTATTTGGTAAAAAGAAAGTCTTTGGAAGAGCAGCAGTGTCCAATATGCCTGGAACAAATGTCAGCATTTGCTTTTCAAATATATCACTATGAATATTGAATAAATTTGAGGTTTCCACTGCTAAGGCAGAAAGTAGAAGTTATATTTTCAATATACAACAATTTTACATAAGGATTTTTTCTTTTTTTTTTTTTAAATAAAATCCAAGAGTCAATCAAGGAATTTTAAATTTGTCACCAAGCACAAGGGTGTCATTTGCTTGAATAAGAAAAAAAAAAAAAAAGGATGATTTTTTACCTTGAATTGTATGTTAGTATTATGTAAAAGTTGTGTATATATGAGAACACTAGAACAAGAAAGGTCAACTGAAAACCTGTAGAAGTTTTGTAGGACTGATACAATGAAGGCAAGCTGCAACATGGCATATCTGACATGAATATAGAGGAGAAGCTAATTCATACTAAGCGCATGCAGATCTGTGTACAATAACTACAGCTACGGAGAGGAATAAAGAAGAGGCTTAAGAGAACTACTCTTTGCATGAAAGTTGCCATTCAGACAGGAAGAGAGACAGCTGCAGGTTCTAATGTCTGTATGCAGGCATTAAGAAGGAAGATGCATTATGGGAAAATTGAGTGAGCAGTAGCTTACTGATGGCACAAGCAGCAGACAACATACAAGCAAGAGACTAGATTTTATTAGAACAGTTAACCCATTATTGCCCAACCAATTTGGAAATTTAACAATCAAGAAACATTTTGATGATCATTAAAACAAGACAAAAGGTCAATGTTAACATGTTACCATATTGCAAAAAAAAAAAAAAAAGAAAAAAAAAAAGGATATTATTTTATAGATTTTTGTCATTAACATGTGAAGAGCCCTCTCAATCACCTTATTACTGCAAATAGTATATCAATAATATAAAGGGGAGATTGATAAATGGCCATTCCTTATTAGACAGATAATCATTGCTGTTTTTTCAGTGACAGAATGCCATCCAAAAGGACAGTTCAAGAATAGCCATTAAAAGAAAATATTTGAGAAACATTGATTTTTCTCGTTGCTTCAATCATGTTTTCATCTGAGGAAATAGGTTAACATTTTTAAAATATATATATATATATATATATATATATATATAGTGTTAAATTCATTTATGAACAGATAATCTATGGCCCAAGCATTTTTTCCAGTAACATAAACAGGCAGTCTATAATTGAGAAGAGTCATTAACATTCAAAGTTTTTGTCTTCTTGATGCTGATAAGAAAATGTTTCTGCTGATCAATTCTTCAGCCTTCATCAAGTGTATAATCCTTAAGAAAAAAATATTTAAAAAATAAGAAGGTAAACCTCATTTCTTCAGACAAAGGCAAAAAAATAAATAATTGTATATATAAATAAGAATAAATGGAAAAATCATTTTTTAAAAATGATTGTTGATATGTACCAACTGGATCAATCTTATTTTTTTTTTCAAACCATATTTAGATAGAGAAACATATACATTACCCTATTTTGGATGAAGTTCAGATAATTGCCAGGAATCATTGCTGAATAGGGAGAATATTGAAAGAAGCAGCAGATATAGGTTTGTTGACCAACTGCACCAAAGTCAGGCTTCAATATTTTCACATGATTTTCTTTATTTAGCAAAGAAACATTAGAAACTCTTTTGTGTATAGTTTGGAATTGCTTGGTACACATATATGTGGTGGTATACTTTCATTTGTATCTAGCATTGCTAAAATGGACTAATTTGGTTGGTAAATTAAATAACCATAATTTTGTTGCCACTGTCTGAAGAAATAAGGTTTTCCTACTTTTTATGTAGATTATATCTGCGATAAGAGTCTAAAGAATGGATCAGTAAAGCATTGTGCTACCAACAACAAAACCATCAAGGAAGAGCGATTAACAGACTGAAGTTTGGAACACTGTTACCATAATCTAATAATTGCATAAGCAGCCTTTGTATTCTTGCCTTAGAACCATTCTTCTTGGCAACTTTATCTGAAGCTATGTTAGCTCAAGTTAACAATCAAAACCAAAGATATTTGAAAGTATTATAAAAAATATCAATTCTTATTACTCTAAATGTTATTTTAGAGGATACAGGCATTTAAGTAGACAACTATTTTTTTTTTTTTAACAGCGTGAATTATGTCTACCGAGTATACATATACTGGTAGATGTAATTGACACTAAAAAAGAAAGGGTGTCTACACAAACATGTATATCCCGTGAAATACTTAGAGTATCAAAAAAGTTGTATTATGTGAAGCAAAAGAAAAAAAAAAAAGAAAAAAAAAAGTCATTAATTTTTGACTAGTCTATCTTTCATTACCTTTTTATTTTTTGACAATATACTTTAACATTGCGACTGTTTCAGAAGCAGCATGAATCCAAAATAAACTAGCCAGAAATTAAGAATGACAATGCTTCATCAAAGAAATTAGGACAATTTAAAAATAATTAGTATTAGGTAACTAATAAAACAGTCACAAGTTACCAAATTCACTGAAAAATGTTACATCTTTTTTCTATGTATGTGAAGACACTGTTAGTTGTGTTATATCTTTATATTTAGTTTAAATCGATAATGCATCAAAAATCAAATAATGTTAATCAAACTCATAAAAAAAAAAAAAAAAAAGAAAAAAGAAAGAAGTTCCTTCTTGTATATTGTAACATTGACCATACTTTAAAGTTTGCATTTTCATCTATTTAATATTAACGGTAACATTTAACAGAAATTTATGAAAAAGAAAATTTGAGAGGTGGGAAAGAAAAATTTTTAAAGAAAATATTAAAACAAAAAGCTTTCTTTGCTTAACAAATGCACTAGGCAGTAATGGGTTAAGAATTTCAAAAAGTAAAGCCAGAAAATTGGTAACCTACCAATTGTCTTGGAAACTGAAACAATGCCTGGAGGTAAAAAGGACACATCAAATCACACAGTAGGAAGAAGGGAAAAAAAATTTATGGGGATTGGGGGTAGGAGATTAGCAGTAACAAAAAATTTGTGGACATTGAAGATCATTAGTTGAAGAAAGGAAAAAAACAAAAAATTTTTTAAAAATAGAATTTGGACAGGTTATGCTACAAATCCCAAAAAACAGTAGCATCCAGGTAAACATTCCAGCAATTTCAAAGTTCTGGTAAAAAATGGTGAAATCATAAAAGCAATTAAATCATGATAAATAAACATTCCATTTATTCTGAAATGGAAATTTACTCTTTTCTTGTATAACAATATTTGATAAGGAAAAAAATAATGACAAAGAATTACAAATACTTTTAATCTTCTATTATGAAAGTTAAAAACATTTTACTCAGTACGTTCAAAGAGAATTACATTTCACTATCAAAAATTCTTTTTTTTTGCTTTATACACAGATTACCAATACTTAATTTTCATTCATGGAACGTGGAAGAAATGCTTTATATTCATCAGAAAAGAAAAGCTAAATAAAAAAAAAGGAAATAAAAACAGTAAGACAAATTGAACATCGAACAACTAAGTAAAATTTTTTTAGTCCCACACCTCCAAAATAAAAAAAAAACTGCATTGTTTTGACAGAAGATTATTTAGACTATTTACAATGTTGAGACTGTTATCCTCATCTTTGTGGCCATATTCACAATGTTTCGGCCATTGTATGCTCCGGCCTTCTTCAGGTGATTGGAATTTTGAAACATATTTAATTTATAAAATTTTCCTACTTGTTCCTTATTTACTCATTTCGTCAGATTTAATCTGTGTCTTTCAGTTCAAAATTCCAATCGCCTGAAGAAAGCTGGAGTATACAACGGCCAAAACATTGTGAATATGGCAACAAAGATGAGGATAACAGTTCGAATATTGTAAATAATTATAATACCTCATCTCAGAAATATAGACAGAAACTTTGAAGATGTTTGCTGCCTCTCCTGCACACTAAAGTATTTGTTAGTTATTATACCACACAGCTTTATAGTCTTAAGGACTTGCATGTATACAAAAACCACTTAGAATTACCCATAAAGTAATAGATTAATTTTAAATTAATTTTAGTTCACTTTAGAATTTATATAACTTTATTGTTGTCCTCATCTTTGTTGTCATTTTCATGACGTTTCGGCCGTTGTACGCTCCGGCCTTCTTCAGGTGATTGGAATTTCAACCTGAAACCTTTATTTCGTTCTCAAGAACACATGGCCCAGTGGATAAATGTGTTGATTAGTGCTTAGAGTATTAAAAAATTTGTATTATATGAAGCAAAAAAAAAAAAATGTCATTAATTTTTGACTAGTTTATCTTTCATTACCTTTTTTATTTTTTGACAATATATTTTAACATTGCCACTGTTTCAGAAGCAGCATGAATCCAAAATAAACTAGCCAGAAATTAAGAATGACAATGCTTCATCAAAGAAATTAGGACAATTTAAAAATAATTAGTATTAGGTAACTAATAAAACAGCCACAAGTTACCAAATTCACTGTAAAATGTTAAATCTTTTTTCTATGTATGTGAAGACACTGTTAGTTGTGTTATATTTTTATGTTCAGTTTAAATCAATAATGCATCAAAAATTAAATAATGTTAATCAAAGTCCTAAAAAAGAAAGGTCCTTCTTGTTTATTGTAACATTGACCATACTTTAAAGTTTACATTTTCATTAACGGTAACATTTAACAGAAATTTATGAAAAAGAAAATTTGAGAGGTGGGAAAGAAAAATTTTTAAAGAAAATATTAAAACAAAAAGCTTTCTTTGCTTAACAAATGCACTAGGCAGTAATGTGTTAAGAATTTCAAAAAGTAAAGCCAGAAAATTGGTAACCTACCAATTGTCTTGGAAACTGAAACAATGCCTGGAGGTAAAAAGGACACATCAAATCACACAGTAGGAAGAAGGGAAAAAAAAATTGTGGGTATCAGGAGTAGAAGATTAGTAGTCATTTGTGGACATTGAAGATCATTAGTTGAAGAAAGGAAAAGACAAAAAAAATGTAAAAAAAATAAAATTTGAACAGGTTATGCTAGAAATCCTCCAAAAAGTAGTATCCGGGTAAACATTCAAGCAATTTCAAAGTTCTGATTGAAGTAATCCAGTGACTTGACCCAACAAGGGTGAACAAAAACTTGGAGTCGAGTTAAAGGGAAATAACTGAAACTGAGATATCCGGAAGAGGCACATGGAACTAGGACAATCTACCTCAGTGGACGAAATAAATGGTTTGGTTCGAAATTCCAATCACTTGAAGAAGGCCGGAGTGTACCACAGCCAAAACGTTGTGAATATGGCAACAAAGATGTGGACAACAGTCCAAACAATGTAAATAGTGTAAATAATTACAACACTTTACCTCAGATATATTTTGGTGCTCATGAAAAAAATAAAAATAAAACAATATTATTTTATTGCTTTTGTCATTAACATGTAAAGAGCCCTCTCAATCACCTTATTATTGCAAATGGAATATCAATAATATAAAGGGGAGATTGGTAAATGGCCATTCCTTATTAGACAGATAATTATTGCTCTGCTTTTTTGGTGACAAGAATTACTTAGCAGGGAGTTGACAAAAGAAAAGAATTCTTCAAAAAAACAAAAAAAAAAAAACATTGATTTTTCTCTTTGTTTCAATCACATTTTCATCTGAGGAAATTGGTTAACATTCTTTTTTTTTTTTTTTTTTTTTTAAAAAAAAAAAAAAAAAACAGTATTAAATTCATTTATGAACAGAACATCTATGGATTGAGTATTTTTTTTCCAGTAACATAAACAGGCAGTCTATAATTGAGAAGAGTCATTCACATTCAAAGTTTTGTTTTGAATTCAGTTTTGGTCACTTTAGAATATACACACATATATGACTATATTTTTGGGTCCCAAAGAAAGAAAAAAAAAAAAGAAAAAAAAAGAAAAAGTAAAACTTTGCTTTTTGTTGATTTACTCTGTATAAAATGTTGAAGAATTTCTAACTAAGCATTAAAGATTTCCTCTTCATAACTTGAGTTTTTCAAAACTGGTAAAATAAAAAAAAAAAAAAAAATTTGTTAAATTGTAATTTTGAAAATTTATACATCAGATCGACAGCTTGTGATTCAATAGTGCAAGTTGAAGATATAGATTAAATCTGCTGAAATGATTAAATAAGTAGAAAATCTTTATAAATTTAATGTTTTGATATTTAATTTAGTTCCATCAGAACTTTTTGGGAATTGGAATAAAGGAGTTGCTTTGATTTCTCTGTGATGTGAATTAATAGTAATTTTTTCTAGTTTTCAGAGTATCCTGATAATAGTTTTTTTGTTTTTTTTTTTATTATTGGCAAATTAAATTTTAAATTTATAAAAGTTTTTTTCCTATTTGTTCCTTATTCAATCATTTTGTTGGATTTAATCCATATCTTCAATACATCCTGTTGGAATATGGAAACAATAAAAAATAAAAAATGTCAGCATTTGAAAGGCCAATATAAAAACCGAATATCATGAGAAATAGAAAAGAAAATTCTGACTGAACTGCATCACAGCAAAAAATCAAAACAATTCCACATTATTCCACTTCCAATAAAATTTCTAATGATGCTAAATAAATAATGTTAAATTTATAAAGATTTTTCTGCTTGTTTCTTATTTAATCATTCAAAAGAGATTAAACAAAGACTCGTTCTTAGCATTCAAATGCCAAATTAATTCCTGATTTCATTGTTAGGTCAAAATCTGAGAGATAGTAAATAAATATTTTGGAAGCCAAAATTATTTCCAAAGTGGAATATAGGATTCCAAAAATGGTAAGTGCAAATTGAGTGACTGGAAGAATGATATAAAAATGTAAAAAAAAAAAAGAAAAAAAGTTACATGAGGAATAACAATTGTCGCTGGCTGAAAATACTAAAGCTAATCATAAACAAATATGTAAAAACCTTTCGAAGATGTGATTTACACTGAGGGTTAGAGTGAGGAGGAGAAACAATGGTTTGTTACTGGGGAGAAGCGTGCTCAACAAAAAGAAAACAATATGGTGACATTGGGGGGCGGCTTCACATGCATTTGTTGCAATCAAGACTGTCACTCTTGTGCGGGTATGTGCAATCATAACAGAAGCTGCACTGCCATCAGCAGGCGAGGCATTACTCTTTGGGCATAGATCCAAGACTGATGGAAGGCTACGTATTGTGATCATTGATACAAGGCTTCATTAATAAATAAGTCTCTAATTTCTATAAAAGCAGTCTTAGATCTGATAGAATAATGAAACTTATATCAAAATGAAGTAAATTTATTTCCCTTCAAAATTAGAAGCTTATTTTTCCAAAATAGTCACCATTTTTTTTATTATTATCCATGTTACCAGTTATCTCTACAAAAAAGGTTTCTGGTTTGTTTTTGATCCTATTGTGTAGAACAACTTCAACTTAGGTGCCTATTGTGATCAGACCATTTATTTCTTTCAAGGTGGATATACAGGTCTATTCTTTTGCTCTTTTACATAGGCATGCATCTTTTGAAGGAATTTCAGAGTACATAATAGCTACTTATTTTGTTGTGTTGTCAAACCATTTTTTTTATTGTTATTGTTTATATTTTATTTATTCATTATTATTATTTATTAAATATTGTATCTATTATTTATTAAATATTTTATTTATTATTATTATTTTAATTATTATTTATTTATTAAATATTTTATTCATTATTATTATTTTATTCAATATTTATTTATTAAATATTTTATTCATTATTATTATTTTTTCATTATTTATTTATTTATTATTATTATTTTATTTATTAAATTTTTTATTATTATTATTTATTTATTATTAATTCATTATTTATTTATTAAATATTTTATTTATTATTATTTTATTTATTAAATATTTTTTTATTATTATTATTATTATTTTATTTATTATTTATTAAATATTTTATTTATTATTATTATTTTATTTATTATTTATTTATTTTTTTTTTATTATTATTATTATTTTATTTATTATTTTTTATTTATTAAATATTTTATTTTATTATTTATTTATTAAATATTTTATTTATTATTTTATTATTTATTTATTAAATATTTTTTTTTATTATTTTTATTATTTATTTATTAAATATTTTATTTATTATTATTTTATTTATTATTTATTTATTAAATATTTTATTTAATTATTAAATATTTTATTTATTATTATTTTATTTATTTATTAAATATTTTATTTATTATTATTTATTAAATATTTTATTTATTATTATTTATTAAATATTTTTATTTTTATTTATTATTTATTAAATATTTTATTTATTATTATTATTTTTTATTTATTTATTAAATATTTTATTTATTATTTATTTATTTTATTATTTATTAAATATTTTATTTTATTATTATTATTTTATTTAAATATTTTATTTATTATTTTATTTATTATTTATTAAATATTTTTTTATTATCCTTATTTTTTATTTATTATTTATTTATTAAATTTTATTTTTTTTATTATTTTATTATTTATTTATTAAATATTTTATTTATTTATTATTATTTTAATATTTATTTATTAAATATTTTATTTATTATTATTTTATTATTTATTTATTAAATATTTTATTTATTATTATTATTATTATTTTATTAAATATTTTATTTTTTTTATTATTTTTTTATTTACATTACTTATTTATTTATTTATTTATTTTACACTGAGCAGATGTACTCATGCACTACTTGAACCAGGAGCTGAACTCATGCTGCCAAGAAACAAGTTGAACCTTATGTCTACAACTCCTAAATCTTACAGCTTGGGCAGCTCTATGTATAAAAGTATGTCTCATTACTTGGAAGACTGGTGTTTGATCCCAAAGTCAAAGAATGAAAATGTATATAAGTTCAAAATATAGGAAAGTGACATTTATCAAGTCTAATATCCTTCTTTAATAAAGTACAAATACAAAGAACCACTTACCCTACAGCAGGGATGGCCAAACCATGGAGCATGAATGTTGGTTTAGATGTGGCACATTACATCCTAGGGATTTTTGTCAATCAGCTTTAGAGTTGAAACGCATAGACAACAAAATGTTGCATCATTTATTATGTGAAGCTTCACAGCTCTGTGCTTTTTGAAAAAAATGTCGCCTTTTTAATATTCATTTTAAATTTTCACAGCATTATATTTGCCATTTCAGGATGATGTAATAAACTGTGAACAAGCATTTTCGGCTATGAAAATGATTAAAAACAAAACAAGATCATAATTGAATGATCAAAATAAATAAAACTTCTCGCAGTAACTAATTTAACTTCAAACATTAAAAGTTTGGCAAAATCAAAACTCAAAAATCCCATTAAAGGAAATGATACTTTGTTTTTATCACATTAAATGTTATTTTTAATAGATACTCGTATTTGTATAGACACTGTTTATTTATTAAACAGTACATTTATTTATTTACATCTACAAGCCTGAATATTTGAGAATGATATTAAAGAAAAATATGTGCTTTCCAGCAGGATTTGAACCTGTGTCCACCTGATCTAGGTACTGTCCAGGCTTGACTTGTTTAACAGTAATCATGAGAATGGGTGTTTCAATGTGATATAGTAACTTCAAACATTAAATGTTTGGCAAAATAAAGACAGGCTCAAAAATACCATTAAGGGAAATAACACTCCTATTGCTTTTATATTAAATCAATAAGTTATATAAAAAACACTAAATAGGCTTATATCAATATTTTTTTTTTACAAAAATGAGAGTACAAGAAATGTATGTTACATCTGAATTTGTGGGTAGAAAAACTGATGCACACAATGTGAAAAATTGGACACCCCTGCATAAATGGAAGAAATAAAGGTGTGTAT